GATTTCTTTTTGTGAGCGTTCATTCTCAGTCGGATCGATATCACAAGTGTTTAGCTTGTTTACTATTTAAAACGTAAGAGAATATTGAAGATTAGGTAGAGGACACTGAACGTGTTAAGAGCGTCGTTCTGGTAAAAAAAAAAGAAAAAAAAAAATCGCTAGCCTTTAGCGGAAATATTTTGTTTAAGTAAACTGAGAGAGAGAGAGAGAGAGAGAGTGAGAGTGAGAGAAAAAGAGAGAATTAAGAGTTTAGAATCGAGCTCGATCGAATCGATATATCGGTAGCAAACTAGAGAGTCTATAGAAATACGGAGAAAATCTGCTATTTTTTCTGACATCATCTGACGATAAAAGAAGAAAACAAAAAAAAGAAAAAAAAAAAGAAAATCCTAGTATGCCATATTCTGCATCTCATTTTTTCCGTTCTATCTTCTGTCAGGACGTCTCTCTATAAATATAGGTAGTCATATAATTCACGTGCGTGGAATTCGACAAAAGCGGGAAGTGTACATCGAGATACACATGAAACACGTTAGTTGAGACACTATTATTTACGGTTAATTTGTATTCGTCATTGATATCATTATGCGCTACAAATATGTTGTAAACGATTATTATGTAACACATGAATGGCGTTTAATAGAGTATTTATTGAAATTAGTAGACGTGTCCGTTCTTCTTCCCCCCGCCGTGAAAGGAGAAGAGGGGAGATCAACATTTTCTTCATCTTCTTCCGCTGCATGACTGAACGTGACTTTTGAATTTTATCGTTCAAAAGAATTCTTTCCAAGTTATTAAGATAATTACCTACTTTTTTAATTGATGGAGAAACATTAGATTATTTTCAGTTAATAAACGAAAAACAGTCATTAAAACAAAGAAGATTAAAGATTAAAACTGGAAGATTACTAAGGAGGCAATGAATTGGCACTATAAAAAGCTATTATAAGAAGAAGCAATGAATCATGAAAACAGAAAAAAAAAAAAGAAAGATGATACAAATAGAAAATAATAGGAAAAGAAAGATACTTGCAAAGATAAAAGGTTTTTTTCCATGATCAACGTATGAAACAGTATGAAATAGTCCTTGAATTATTTCCTTTCTATATAACTATTCTTCTTGCAGTTGGTGGGAGGCCACGGCACACAAGACAGCTACATTCGTAATTTCGTTCAATTTGTTCGCTACCTACGTGTCGTGCAACACGGATTCTTAAAGTTTCCACCTGTTGAACTTCCAGCCTGAACATTTGTGAATATGAACTGCATTCAGAGGAACGTTGGGTAAGTAATTTCTTGTCGCAATCGTTGTACCAACAACCGTATCTAGGAATTTATTTGTAAAGTGGTCATAACTTTTTCATTACACGACTTCATACAGTCATTGATTACTCCTATAATCATATTATGTGTATATTATATCATATATGTAATACATGTATATACATTATACATATATATAGTAAATCATTAAATATTTAATAAGATAGGAAAATTTTCACGCCTTTTATTTATTTATTTATTTTTTCTTTTTAGACGTTGAATAAATTTGTATTGATGACCAGAACAGATAAAATAGAAACTGTATTTAAAAAATGATTCATCTCTGTATTGAAAGAACGTCAAAACCGTCAGAGGAGCATCCTAAGAATGAAACATTGTAGTATTTGAACATCTTTGAACATCTCAGTTTCCAATACATCTTCTATACTCCCAGTGCTTTTGTTAAAATTATGCTTTCAATAGCTAAACTTTTAATAACTAACTACTAATATTTTGTAGTAACTGAATGTAGATTACCAAACTTTGGTAGTTCTTTGTTTCTCTCAAGGACTCTGTTGTATTCTAAATACAATTACTCATGAAAATATTCGTAGAAATTTGATCGAATAATGAGCAATAGATGTTTGCTCTAGTTGAACGGCGTGTGATCCTTTGCATAACTCCGTCCGCAGAAGAGAAAGTTGCAAAAAATTGTTTGAGATCTGATTGTTGGGTGCACAATGTTGAAGACAAGCGAACGAGCCTCCTTACTGATTCTCAAGTAAACCCAAGATCCTTCTACGAACAGTGAACGCTCATAGTAACTCAACCTGAAAGCAATCAATCATGTTGCAAATACAAGTTCTTGACTGTGCAAGTTTTAACGCAAGCCTGCAAGATTGCATTCACTCTGAGTTTTGTCAGAATCGAATTTTTACATAACAACTGATTCAGTTCGAAGAAACTGGTTGTAGGAAATAGTAAGAAAAGCTACCTGGTCTGGATACGTGTTCCAATATGTTTGTAACTTGTATTTCATCGAAGATAAACCTCTTGAGTGTTCCTGTTTGTTTGCTTTTAGATTTGAGAAATTGAAACATTTGATAGGAGTGTTTACTCAACGATTTGCTTGATTTTTCTTTTCTTTTTTAAATGATTTACATGATGTTAATAATTGACACTGAACGGAGGAACGTTGCAGTTTTATTAAATGTTACTTATAAAGTAGGAAAAAGTTTACCATTGCAAATCATAATGCGAATTTCTGTGAGTTATGTGATGAAATTACCTGTAAAAAGGTAAAAAAACATGGGATTCACTATCTGATTACACGAGAATCTTCAACGATAGCAAACAAACCACAGAGATTAGAAGCTAAATTGCAACATTACCAAATTGCACAATAGTTGGCAATGGATAATGAGTCAACTTGAATCATTCAATGGTCTTCACCTTGAATTCTTATATAAATAACGAAATCCAAAGGTTACTTTTCTTAAATGATAGTGCAAATGTTGTGCTTTTTAGTTGACTAATACATTTATCATATAATAAATATCACTAGAACGTAGAAAATTCACTAGACAGGCTTGAATTGAATATGCGATTAACAGCAATTATATAACTATGCCTTCTTAATTAGTAACGCTATGCGACTTGCTAGATTGATCAAAAATTATAATCAAGCGTGAACGTGCGTTGGAACATATATTACTGGTTCACGAAAGTATTTGAACATTGATTGAACGTAAACCTTTTTTTATTACAAAAATTTATAATAA